AGCATGATCACACAGAAACAACCACTGACGCATCACAGAGTTCAGTCAAGACTAAACTTCGTTTATAAACAAATAACACCCACGCGGCGCGTAACTGTATCAGTTACGTCATCGATTGAAATGTACATTCCTCGCCGCGCAGCGTCCAAAACTTTCCGACCGAAGATGGCGTTCAGAGGTAAGCGCAGACGCACGTATAACGTACCAGATCTCCTTCAATGTCGGGAGGATCAACACATTTCAACTGACAGTCAACCATCGGACTCTGCAGCGTCCACACCAGCCAGCATGCTCCACCATATCCCGCGACATGCACACTACTGTAACGTCGACGGAGAGAGACCATTCCCAACGGACAGTACAAAAACTGGCAAATTTTCATTGGTAGGTTTTACAATTCACTTTCTGGCAAATTACTTAATCTCCAGATTGATTAAACTGAAGTTAAGAAAGTAATTCTTTCTGCGACTTTGAGCGCAATATACATTTGACCTATCCTGCCGCGGACATTCTTCTCACTCTGTTCGATAGATGGTGTGCATACTGACTATGTGGCAGGGAATCGATAATCCGAACTATAGTTGCTAACCTTCGTTTAGCCCCATGCGTGTGATACTATCAGCCACCACCTGACACGCACAGCTAGGGCCTGCATACCTCACAAATCCCATTGGTTGATACAAATCACTGGCCTTAAACTCCTGTTTTATATGGTGGCATCCTGTGAACCCTACACCTATTTTTTTATTTTTGATTTAATTGTTGTAACAATTATGTAGTTATTAATATTGTTTGTAATAAATCATGAAATAATTTGCGTAAATTGGGGAAAAATAGTTAAATGTATAAAGATAGAAAAATACAGAAAACAGGAAAATAATTACACAAGTGGCCCCGCAGCGACAGCGCTCATCTAACATCTACTGCGGTGACTCGTGGTGGAGGTGGTGGGATTCTAAGTAAACCTTGTTCAGTCCCAAATGCTGTTCACATACCGTGCCGAAACAGTAGGAACGCACAGGGATGGTATCAGGACCCTTCTCAAAAGAAATGTTTCGTTGGATCGTATGAAAGTTGCCACGAAGATGGCGTGTACGTTTAAGTGTCTTAAATTAAAGATGGAAGCTCCCATCGTACGTAGTAGCAACAACTATTTGCAAGACAGAATAGGTAAACACTCATCCATTTACCTACGGCAAGCCACAGGCTGAAATAGAGAGCTGCCACCTGTAACTAATTAATGCAGGCAAAAACTACCCAGTACTATCACCACCACATGCACTGGCAGTGGCCACTGGCAGTCGGCATACACGTTACATGTAACACCCTGACAGTACAGAATGCCATAGAAATTATTACGATTTAAGGAGGCATAAACCTTCTTCAACACCAAATTAGCTTTTGAAATTTCACGTGTGACATTGTAGCCTCATACATCCAGGCATGTATAGATTCTACTAGCAAACCCGGCAGTCCAAATTCTTTCTAACAGTAAAACAAATCCATGTTTAACCCTCCTCTTAAGGGTCAAAAGGTCTTATCGCGACACTTACTCCTTCGCATGTCAGCAGAAGCTACATTTCATGTCCTTTTTCAAATAAAGCCATAAAAATGCTAGGTCCACGCTGCAACAAAAAAGTTTTTCAATCGCTCCGTCAGACCATGTCCTCAGAAAATGTCTAAAATCTGCCCTGTGCCCATTGACCTTTTGACCTGTGAACCTCCAATTTCGGCACAGTGATGGCTTTTCCTACCTGAGTGCTATACACCGGCGACTATCAGCGGAGCCTAGGTCGAGCCGTTTAGATTTGTGCCGTCAATTCTGCATTTCGTCCCTATACCTTAAGTTAAGGGATCGGACAGTTTCGCGAATGTTCCCCCTTCTTTTACACCTCTTGACCTTTGACCTTTGACCCCCAGCTTCGACATCCCAACTCATTTTCGGATTACCCCCCCACGTCCCGAATATCGTGACCGTACGTCAAGTGGTTAAAATTTGTGCCCAATTGTTGACGGACGGACGGACGGACACACGGACGGACACACGGACGGCCGGACAGACGGACGGACGATCATGTGATTCTACAAGCTGCACCTGACTACGTCAGATGAGCTAAAAACAGATGGGATTCGATCCAACGACCTTTCAGCCGTGACTCCCGTGCTCTACGCGTTCAGCTATTATATTCAGGCTTATGCGAGGTAAAACTATTTATAGTTGGCCTAAATCAAAAACAGACGTTTGCGTAAGTGCTATTGACATTGTATTCCCAACGTACAGAATCTCATATAGAGAATGAAGTTCATATATTATTTAAGGCGAGTAAACGTTGTTCAAGTAACATGGTTCATACAGGACTGAAAAAAATTTCAAGGACTTTTCAAGGACTTTTTATCAGAAATTCAAGGATATTTTATCAGACATTTTATCGGAATTCATACACAGAACAAAACATACCTGGATTAATTTAATAACCCCATTCTTAATCACTGCATGTCACCTCTAAAACTTACCTGGATCACATAAACCCTTCTAAACACTGTCACTTCTACAACATACCTTGATTTACTGACTGATTTTACTGACTTACTGTAATTTGTGATCATCATTTAACTGTCTATCGTGTCTATAGCTTTTTAAGCTCATTTAACGCAATTTTTATTGAGGTTTGCACATTATTGATTGTACAAAATTTCTTTTTATTACAGGCAAGGATTCTTTCTAAAAATCCAAGGACATTTTCATGAAATTCAAGGACTTTCCAAGCACAAAATCAACAGTTACTAAATTCAAGTACTTTTCAAGGACTCCCCTCAAATTCAAGGACTTTTCAAAGACTGTGCAAACCATGAGTAAGTTTTGCATGCAGAATTTCACTGTGAAATTTAAGTCTTCCACGAACACACAAGTACCATCAAACACAGTTCAGTCCTTTGCTAACATTCAACAAATCCATGTTTAACCCTCCTCTTGAGGGTCAAAAGGTTATCAGACAACTACTCTTCGCATGTCAGTGAAAAGCACATTTCATGGTCCTTTCAATAAAGTGATAAAAATGGTAGGTCAGCGCTGAAACAAAAACGTTTTTCACTGTCGATTAGGCCATGTCCTCAGAAAATGTCTGATATCTGACCTTTCCCCCACTGCCCTTTGACATGTGACCTCCAATTTCGCACTGGTGATGGGTTTCCTGCCCATCACACTATACACCGAATATTAAGAGCATATAGGTCGAGCCGTTCAGATTTGTGCCGCAATTCCGTATTTCCTCCTATACCTTAAGTTAAGGGGGAAATATTCCCCCTCCGTTGACACATCTTGACCTTTGACCCTTGACCCCCAAATTGGTCATCCGAATCCTTTTCACGATCCCCCCCCCCCGACGTCCCGAATATCGTAACCGTATGTAGAGCGGTTAAGATTTGTGCCCAACTGTTGACGGACGCACGGACATACGCACGCACGCACGCACGCACGCTCATGCGATTCTACAAGCTGCATCTGACTTTGTCAAAATAAACCACAAAATTTGAAATGGCGTTCGTTTTTGCGCTATTGTTTTCTAGGAAGTACACAGAAGCAACTGCAATGTGCTGCGAAAAGATAAGCTACTTAGATACAGCTATTTAGTTTTAGTTTTATTTGGGTAGAGAATTGAAAGAGGAATAAAGTGAGTGATGTGAGGGAAAGAAAAACGAATAGGAAGAGCACACACCGTGACGCATGCATGAATAGATGCAGTTACACCTAATCCGTAGTGAAAACAATATCCTTGACTAAATATGCACTAGTCCAAACTAAGTTAGCATCCCCAAAACTGATGTGACCCAGTCGCACTTCAAAGTATGTCCTGTCGTCGCGCGTTAACATGAACAACCTTGGTGTAACCTGGTCTGGTTCTGGCCCGATTGCCTAATTACTCAAATATCTGTATGCTCAGATTTAGCAAGGTACGTACATGTATAAGTAATACTCGCGCTAGTAATGTAATACTTAACAGTTATTCGCCGAAGGCGAGGTGAATCTTGTTGAATAATCCCCAAGACAAAGTCGAGAGAATTATTCAACAAGATTCACCGAGCCTGAGGCGAATAACTGTTTTCGTATCATTGCCTGAGTAGATAAAATAATAGATAAAAGAACTAAGTGCTGAAACCACTCTGTTGACAAAACGTTTCGTAAAATTAGATGTAAACAAGTGTCGGCAACCATTTTGTGGCAACTCAAATTGTTGCATTTCGGTAAATTTCGCCCCCAACAAACTCAACATATACCGTTAGGAAAACAGTAAACAAACCTAGCTTGTTGAACAGACTTTAGCCCCGAATTTACCCTGAGTCTCAAAACTCCTAATTTCATGTTCGAATCAACGGTAAAGAATTGTATTCTTTAGTTCATGTATGACTGGGGTATAGACTGTAGGCTACCTGTTTAATTTCTAATTAGGTAGTGCCTGCCATCTGTTGGAAATCAGAGTAACAAAACCCAATAAGCTTGAATGACCGACCTTTAAATGACCTTTCCTACCTTTAAATAGTTTAACTCCAAATTTTGTCACATCTTTAATTTTGGCACTTTTGGGGACAGCATTTTCTTTAAATTTGTCAATTTCGGCTTCCGCGTAACATTTACAAATCTTGCTGCCATTTTTGGGGCCAATACAATGTAAACCCTAGAGGTGATTATCGAAATATATTCACCTAGGTCTCGACCAATCAGCGCGCAGGATTTCCTATAATCACTCGGGCGATGATACTAAAGTGGATTAATCACCTTTCAAGTACCAATTAAAGTATTGAGGCAGTGATACAGTACTATACTTGACTGTTGTACTTATAGTCGCTTGTTTCAAATTTGGCACCTTAAAATTTGCAAATTTTGCAAGTCTAGCTATATTATTAACAATCAACTAACATGCTACTCACTGCATATAGCAATCAGGGACAAAGCCTACAGGAATCCATTTTAGATTAGCAAAAAAAAATTGTTTTAATAAATGTTTGTGATTAGTTAGAAATTATTTTTATTGACGTACAGCAAGCACCACAATACAGTGAAAAGTAATTTAGTTTTCACATTTCTTTACTAGTATGGTGCTTGGAATTCCACTTTATTATGAATAAAATTGCAGCAAAGTTACATATGGGTAAGGTTTTATTAAAAAAGAGTTATTCAAGTTCGTTGAAAACATCTTCCTTAAATGATTCCACAACGAACCCAATATTCAATCAACAAGCCTCATTTCCCATATCCAATACCACCTGCGTGTTGAGTCATCTTGAGAATTGACGCTTGTCCTTCTTGCCCTTGAGCTGTCTGTACATCATCGATTTTTTGACTGGCTTGGAATTGGTTCCGAAGCCGCCGCCACCACCTCTGCGACGAACACGATCACCTTTACTGCTATTCACACCTAAAACATCCTGGTCAAGAATTTATAACAGTAGAAGAAAGCTAGTACATACGTTCATACAAAGTGCATGTTGTAAACGCTACTAATTAAATTTGTACTAGATATTTTTTGTTAGAAATCACGGAGTTATGTACTGTGGCCTGGTATTTTGGACCTCCACTTTCCCTGTTCACACCACTCCACTTTCCCTGTTCACACCACCCCACCTTCTCCATCACCCTTTCACCACTTTTTCTCCCTGCCTACTACCTCTAGACCTCCTGCACCTCCCCTTGCTCTATGTCATCGAACTTCTCCTTTCCTCTTCCTCTTCTATCATCCAATATAAATTCCTGTATTACCTTTCTCTATCTCTTCTACCCTTCCAAAAAAAAAACAATCATTCTGCCCTCTAACATCTTCACATTCTCTCAATTTGCCTCCTACCTCCTCCACTTTCCTTCCTTCCCTACCTTACAATGGCGACAAACTGAACACAAATACGAACACTCATACACGAACATGGTGTTAACACATGACAATCTTCCTGCCTGCTGAAACAGTACTGCCCTCTCAATGATCCTGTAACAAACAGCAGAGCATCACTTGAGCACTGCACACACATGATATGGAGACTGGCAGCTGAGTAGCTGGAAGACAGTCTAAGTGCAGCGTCAAGCGACCCGAGTGCTACCTGTCACCTACAGATACAATCCTACTGCTACTACTACTACTACTACTCACTACATTTAATTACTACTAATAATAATTCATAATCAACAAGTTTCACTAAAAAGGATACTCAAATCCACTCCAGGTGGCACTGTGAAGCCAAACGAATTCCCAACCTTGACAAGGTCAAGCAAGTTGACATCAAAGATCTGCTTGAGTGCATGTGAATCGTAAGCTCTAACGTACGACTTGTAGGCCTCCAATGCGGACTTGTGTAAAAAGTAGTTCTTTGAGATCAATTTCTCCAACTGTAATCAAAATTAATTGATGCACATAAAAAGCTGTTCCTCATCAATTATATAAGTAAGGCCTAGAGCATATTTCACAAAGATGTGTTAATTGTTAGAGATCGAATTTCACTGGCACTAACGACAATTGCTGTGATTACCCGGTGGTTACATTCTTTCAACGTATTAGCCAGCGAGCCATGCAGCCGTGATTTGCACGGTCAGTTTTGAAACTGCACGGCCGCAAATGTGTAGCACGGCCTAAAATATTGATCTAAACACACATAAAAAAAATTGCACTCCCAAATATTTTTTCTGCACTCCAACAATACTAATCCGTGGCTAATAACCTGCATTCTTTTAATTATAAATTTACTAAAAACTTTTTGCAACGGCAGGGGTATAATCAAAGACGAGATATGGTTTCCATGGCAATGCCTTGACCGACACACACAAAATATGTCATGCACATCTACACTTCATGGTGATCAAGTGTATGAAGTTTGATTGGAATCCCTTGAAAACTGTGGAAGTAGTTCGCGCCACAAACTTTTTGCAACAGACAGACCGGCCGACCGCCTGCCCTTCTGCCCGACCGACCGATCCCGGCATATGGTGTACATCTGTCAAATTGTCAGACACGGTGATTTGTGCGAAATAACTAATCTAGGAAATGGCACAACAACATGTACTCTCTCTAAAACACATGTATATTTCCACAAATATACACATAACATTTTTGCCAAATAAATATTAGAAAATCCGCGGAAACGCACTGACCTGTTTTCTGTCGCCGGCGCTAACATGCTTTCTGAAGTTGCTTTTCTGAAAGTGCTTTTGCGCACGACCGCTGTGATTTAACGGACCTGAACTGGCCGCGCGGCCAGCTGCCATCTCACAAGCTCTGCTCTAGATACACCTGAGCGTATGTCTGGGCGGCACGAAACAGTGGCCGCAACCCCTATAGACCTTCCCACTGACGTCATAGCATTATGCTCAGCTGGCTTAGACGGTAACCCGGTCTGCACCGAAACTCGTCCAGGGACAGGTAACGTCCAGAGCATGTCTAGCAGCTTAGATCACCATAGTATTGCTGCAAGAATGCTCCCCTTCTTACTTCACTCAAACAACTTATAGCTTCTGGGCAAACAGCAGAGAACATGAGGAGCGCTTTTGGAGGAACGGTTGGCAAGTGTGGGATTTGTGAGAACGGATGAGGTGTATCTGTGTATACGCCCACTTCTAAACCTGTCATGACAGGGCTTGGGGAGACATGCTCTCGCAATGCATGATGTAGCTGGGACTACTCTTTGCGAACAGTGGCATGGATAAGTATATATTATAACTGAAAAAAATAGTGGCAAACATGAAAAACCCGTAATATACACTAGTAAAATTCTTCCTTCTTAGTAAAATTTTAATCCATGTTTTAACTTAATCAATTAACATATCATGTTGTACTCATGTAGCAGCAATATTTCCGGTATAGCATCTCGTAGGTATGTGTTAAGCGGCACATAACGTGCAGGGAGTTGACGTGCATTATAAACAGCCTAAAAAAAGCCATGCTGGCCACCATTATTGCGGTACTATCCGCATTACGAAATCCTTGACTGTCCCCAAAAGGCTAGTGGTAGTAACTTGACATCTTAGAAATTCAGGTAATCGTTAGCCTCTAGTACTTAGCCGCTCTACAGTTAACTGCCGGCTGGGCTAACGGACAACCATTCGAATGCTCGGTTGACCACTACTCCAGCCAGTGCAGCGGACTATTATTCCGCATGTGAGGGGTGGGTCAGCGTGTGTTGGTTGTCGTCCAACGATTGTTTGTTGTAAGTAACAAATTAATAATAGTAAATTGTTCATCTTCATGAGCAAAACTAATATGACAGATCTCTTTTTGATCGTGCTTAATTTGTTACTGACAACACAATGTTTTTTCCAACCACCCCAACGCGCCCCCCTCCACATGCAGAAATACATAGTCGCACTGTGACTGCGGGCTGGCTGCAGCGGCCGCAGAGCAAT